TCAGAAGTCAACTGCCGGTTAATAGACTTTTTTGCCGTATGAGTATATGTTGCCCAGTGTGCACCACGTGGAGGTAAGTCTATCGAACACCCCTTTTTATAAAATGTATGTAATCAGAAGAACTGTTAGTTGTCAATAAAAAAACGGTTAAATGGTGTCAGGTAATCTCAAACAGACAGTCATTTTATAAACCTGTTAAGCACAATAATATTCGGACAAACAGAAACTTCCTTTTATAAAGTTTCACTTTATGAAGAGCCCTTGGTTATTTGAATGGTCTTCGCTTTTCAGATCAGAGGAGCATATGCTGATTTCGTTATTGCTTCCTGCTAACAAAGCTTTGACGTAGGTCGTGAAGATTTTCATATCAGCATTTCGGATTAAATTCTGATATCCGAATTTGGCCAAACATACATTGAAAGCAGTAAACCTTTCGATAGTGCGAAGGCATTGCCTGACTTCATGCAGTTTTAAAAGTGTACGCTTCGCTTGCTCTGCTCAAATTCATTTTAGTTTCTTTAATAATTAATTTAACTTTGCGCGAGCTTTCCTTCTGGTTCTCCTGAAAATAAGCTAGAACTTTGAGAAAAATATTTTATTGAGATTTTTAGCCGTCCAAAGCAGACGTATTCAATTTTGGCTTTAGTTCACACTATTTTGATTCAATTTTTAACTTGTGATAGAATTTAAATCGCCTTCTTTCCGACCAGTTTGTTAAGTTCGACAATGCTAAAACATAAAAACTCTTACAGGTTTTATCACGGAGAGCACTTTGCTCTCTATGGCGTTAAATTTAAAAGAGTCCAATAACGTGAATACTTTCATTGCCATTGGAATATTAGAGTCCATTACAAAGTCGCTTTGAACAAATGGAAAATTTTCCACCTAACTATGAGACGCAGTTAAATGTACATGTTGTTTGATGTTAGTGGTAATTTAGCTTCTTTGAGAAAGAAGAGGATGATCTGTTAAAAATTAAAATTTCTTTTAATTAGACAAACTAGAAGCCTTTTCAGATCCTGCACTTTTATTTCTTAAAAGTTTTGCCTAAAAAACAAAGGATATTTGCATAAAAATAACAGACTTCTTGTGCCGTAAATTCAAGGATTTCCTTCCTCAATTTAGAATGCAATTTTTCACATGTATACTCCGTTAAACTAATGCAAAAATTTTAAATTCAGGAAAGTCAAATGGTTGTGTAAATATTAAATAAAAAAGCATATAATATTAATCAAATAAAGCATGATAAGTTAATTTAGTCAATATCAAATAGTTTAAATCTAGGTTTATTAGTAAGTTCTCGTAATTACGGTGAATATGGAAATAATTTTTGAATTTGACAAAATCCCATTTAAGATTGTAGATAAATATATATTAAAACTTAAGTATTTTCAACTTTTACAGTTTTGCATTCATATACAAAACATGTATTTTCTCCCTAATGTTACGCAAATTTATTTCATTATTTCTTGACTTATTTCCTATTGAATGTTCAATATTTCAGTCACGTGGTACACCCAAGGAAACGTTTACTCATACGGCAAAAATCTATTAGCTGGCAGTTGACTTCCGACTTCAAATTACCATGACCCAACCGTATGTCATTCGGCCACTTTCACAGTACTCACCTTGCCTTTTTCTTTATCTATTTGTCTGCCTCTCTTACATCTGTCTCTAAATCGACAGTTGACTTCTCACTTGAAGCTACCATGACCCCACTCTATGTCATATTCCACCACTTTCTTAGTACTCAGCTTACCATTTTCTCTACATTTGAGTTTGTCTATTTAATGCCTGTGAATCATTCTTCTCGTCCCCCTATGAGGAGCTCGAAATCAACTAAACGACTAATGATAATTATTATAACTCCTACCGTTTGTTATAATATTTCAGCCAAATCCTATAGGGAAAATCTCATGCGTAAACAGCCGACCAATGAAAATTCTCTACTGTTTACTGATTGGATAGTAAGCGTAAACCAATCAAACATAAAATTGAGGGGATATTTTTTAAAAAAATCGAGTTGGCCTAATCTCCTCTATTCTGTCCTTGCATGTACATTTCAAACAATGCCATCCTGTTCTACGGCACCAACTTACAATTGCTCCCAGTCTGAATTTCCAAATCTCCAGGAGTTCGCCCACGGATATGACATAGTTCATATTCCTTTGAGCTTGGCCATTTGCGTCTTTGGTGTCTTCGGTAATATTGCTAATGTTATCGTACTTAGTCAACCAGGAATGCAATCGTCAACAAACCTCCTGATGTCGGCTTTATCTATTGGAGAAGGCTCGGTAATGGCCGTACATGCTTTCTACGTTTGTATGTTCAGAATTGATCCAAAACTTGAACGAGGAATGTCAAAACCTGCTGCCTACGTTCTTTACATTATAGTGTACGCGCAGAGTCTTTTTCATGTTTTCTCCTCATGGATGATTGTATTTCTGACGCTTTTTCGTCTCGTTTTCATGAGAGCAGGTGTAGCCGCTCTACATATTTGTAATTACAGACGCGCGAAGATTATTATTATTACAGACGTGGTAATGTCCCTGATAGTGGCTTCTCCATTCCTATTCGCACACCATGTTGATAAGGACTGCATAAATTCAGAAGATCGGTCACCTTCGTACAAACTTGATTTTGTTCCAAATGAAGTGCTTAAAACTCTACTTCTTATAAGCTCAGGAGTCTTCATGAAAGCTCTTCCAATTGTCTTTAGTACTTTATTCACAGCTTTATTGATTAGGACTCTTCTTCAATCACAGAAAAGGCACAATCGACTCCAAAATGAGAAGTCTGAAACTGAGCAGCGATTTCTTGCAAATCAGGCCGAACTCTCTGCAAAGAATACATTCACTACTCTAGCAGAACAATCAGAGAATAAGTCGCCTAAAAGACCCTTTAACCATGATTCAAGCAGCCGAAATATTCATCAGACTACAAATATCCTGATAGCATTAACGGTGCTCTACATTGTTACATATTTACCTCAAGTAAGCATTTCTGACTGTCACTAAAAATTATTTTAATTGACCTATTAATGATTTATTACCAGAATTTTTCGCCATGAATCGATAAATTTGTATTAACAAAGTGCGAGTATTCATATTTTTTGTGCCAAAATAGGACAATTAGTCGGATAGAAATTTCTCGACTTGCAATTTTATGGATAACATCTACTCAATATTCAAAGGAAGTGTCTAGTACTCATTTCTCCTTCAACAAAATTAAAAATCTTGGATAGAAAATATTTCTAAAAATAACGCTATTTTAGCTTTATTAAAATAACATTCAGAGCGAAAAAACATTTCAGCACTTTCTACATCTATAATATGCAACTTGCTTATTCTTCTTCTTATGCTTCTTTTACAGTGCCGCAGATTTAATTTTTAAAGACGACAAGGCAAATGTAGGTGCTTCAATCTTCACCACCGGAAATCATCTGAGTAAATCAATCAGCATTAGAAATTAGATTCAAGATATCGAGCATGTTTCTCATAATTTCATATTAGAATTAAGATTGTCAGTGCCTCAATTTCGGTTATATGCTTCAACTGCGCCAGAGTTCTTATGCAGGAATGTTTTAATCTCAGGATGTATGGTAATTTCCATATAGAAATCATATTCATGGCGTCCAGGTCCAATAACTATTTCTTTACTATCCGGGTTTGTTATAATTCTAACACGCATTAAGGCTCAAAAATGCTGCGACAAAATGATCGTATAAATTCTCAATAAGAAAGAAGGGTATTTCGTTAAGGGTTTCAATATTACTATATGAATTTTCTACAACTTTGGTATTAGTAACGATGTCAGTAAAGGATAAATTTCTTGAACCTTTCAGAAACAGGACTACTATTCAGACCGTTTGACGGAATGCGCAAAGGAATCCTCTAAAGCGGGATTCGTTCTCTGATATAATTAGCAGAATGACATATTTTTTTAAAATGGAATTGAATCATTTGCAATTAAAGTGGACCGATTTCGTATGCTTAAGATTGTCAATTAGCCTACTGAAATATGAATGTTTATTATGTCATGTATAACTACGGAGAAAAAGAGGTGTTTATAAAATCTCCAGGACCCATTTTTAGGTGGCAAGAAAGTGTATAACTTGAAAAAAATTGCTAAGGCAATAGCCTCTTTGCTGATAGCATCTATGAATTCTTGACTGCAAAATGAAGTGAATGTGAAACTACTTTCTGAAGTGATTTGACTACTATGAGCATAAACACTCCCAGTGTTGAAATGATTATATGACTTCATTTAAACATGAGAAAATTAGGCAAATAAAGTGTATTGTGCTATCAGGTAGTAGAGCACAATAAATATATTTAATAAATAATTTCATCATCAATTTTTTTCAACCGCTTTAGCTTTAAGCCAACCTTCTATCAGTAATGATTTAGCACTAGTCGAAATGGAAAATAATGATATTTAAGCGTTAAGTCTAAAATGGTGAAGTTTTTAAACATTCTCAACTAATTGAAACGTGGGCTTTACTATATATATATATATATATATATATATATATATATATATATATATATATAAACTGAATTATATATATATATATATATATATATATATATATAAACTGAATTTAATAAACTTATGTATTTATGCGAAAGTTCAATGTTGGCTAAGAAAGTGCGTGGTTGTAAGTGCTACCAGAATTTTAATCAATGAGCTCGGAGGGGTTTCATTGATGCATTCGCGCAAGTGCTCAGCGGCAGTGAGGAATATGTGGGAACAGTAGGACAAATAAATGGGAAGAAGGGAAGATGTCTGCAAACTGGGTCAGTGGTCTGGTAGGGTGGCTAAAATTATCACCAATGCCATTGCACTTAAGCCAGTTCGGCGTGTGGTTTACCTAGCTCCCAAAACCCTCAGGTACTAAAGTCGATTTTAACGCGACGGCCAGCTGCTGTTGGATTGCAGTAAACTTCTGCCCATAGCCGACGACTCATTTGGATGAGTTTTGAATACTTAATAAGGTGTGCTCATTAAAATCAGTAGAATATAAAACTCGGGGTATTTCCCTCATTAGCTTTATGTTTTGAGAATATGCACACCGTAGAAATATAAAATCCTGAAAATTGTATAAATGTGGGCATTGTAAAGAAGATGACTTTAAACAAAGTCTTCCACCCAATGAAAGGAGAAGCGCTAAGCAGTTTTCGCAGCTCAGTTAAAAAAAGGATATTGTCAAAAAACGGCAGATATTCGATATTTTTACTTTTCGGAATAGTTTTAAGCCAATATGTTTTTCTTCATTCTTAAATAATTATTAACGAATTATAAACTTAATACCCTTTTTCCAGAACTCATATTCAAAAAGCAACCTCATCAATAATGCCGTAAAGTCATTTTAAACGCAGTAAATATTAATGCCATTATAAAACTATTTGTTAAATATTTAGAAAATCAAAACAGCAGTACTATTTCAACTTATTAATTTTAATCTAATTTATTAAAATACGTTTCAAGAACTTATTTATCATTTTTTGTGTGGGTTGGTAAGTAGAAAGATGTATTTTACGTAATTGTTCTCAAGGCCATGATTTTGTTTTAATTTGCTTCGTAATTCTTAGCAGATTCAATCCCTTCTGACGGTTACCGAAAACAAGGACTAAAATTTTTATGTTGTTGCACTACAATTACAAAGCCGTTTCTCTTCGGACGATCAAGATCACTATTGGTGCATCATAAAGATTATACTATTTTAACCTAGGAGAAATTCATTGGTTCTTTGTGGGTGCCGCTATGATTCTGGATGTATTTTTCGACAAACAATTAGAGGCAATCAATTAGAGCATGTAGAGGTTGACATACCTAGTTAGCTGTTTAAAACGCTGTAGTGATGGAAAACACCCCAAACAGGAAAAGCAGGTTTAATGTGTAATAAAAGTGACTAACTAAAAATTGAAAATAAAGTCGAGCTCATCTCACTGTCAATTTCTTTTAATTAATGGAGGTTAAGTTCCAATTTTCGGATTCCTGAATGTTATTGGCTTCTCACTTTTGCTCCCATTTTAATACAGCTTTGTGTTTCGTAGGGAACTAGGTCATCAGGAATTACATTTCGTTATAAAATTTGGAATCAAACCAAGGGAAAAAATAATAATATAGTTAAATAATAATATAATTAAATTTTCACAAGTATTTTTGCTGCTTATATGTTTTAATAGTTAAATATAGCTACAAATCTCTGATATTATAAAATATCGATTATTTTGATGCTAAGTCAATGGCCCTGAAATTACTTTCTTGCCATTCAAAATCCATTATTGATCAAATTTTATTTCCACTTTATTTCGTAAATTTTCTTATATATTATTGGTTTTACAACTCTTTTATTCATTTTTTGCACCTTCAAATATCCTTATTGCTCTAAATGGCCATGAATTTTTCCAAATTCACTTTTTTTTACTTTTTCAAACAGCAAAGGACTTTAGACTGTTATTTACTACTTTGTAGACTGATACAAAAACAAACTATTGACAGTAGTTAGTTATTTTGAAAAGACGGAACAGCCGCCCAAGTTTGGCGGACAAATGAGATAATTCTTTGTCTTAATTTACTCGAAACGATCACCATTTTTGCATTGATCTTGTAGGCAATAATGCTTCTTCTACTGAATATCTACGGTGCATGCTTTGAGGTGAATGTATACGAAAAGTTGGGAGACTTTATGGATCTAATGACCTTAATCTGCAACTGTGGCAATTTTGTTCTCTACTGCGCGCTCTCGTCAAAATTCAGAGAAACCTTTGTTCAACTGTTTTGCTCCCTTCTACGATTCAGAAAGTGTTCTCGCTAATCACCAGCTTGGCATTAGATTCTTCACTTCTAATTTCTATTTTACAACCTCAATTCCTCTGTATATAATTATATAATTCATTTTCATTCTCTGTTTAATTATTTACTGCCATTGCGTCCTCTTGTAAGCGCCATAGATACAAATGGCAAGGGTATGTGTGAATCAATATAAATATTCGGTTGTAAAAATGGTGAATTAAAATGAGGAAATGAGGTGATTGAATAGTATCCGATTAATTACAACATTGAGAAGTAGGAACTTCACTTATTGATTTACAAACAGTAATTCGAAACATCAGCTTTAAGATAAGGGTACATGAGAGTATTAAAATAATGCTTTTTTTAAACTCTCCTTAAGCACTTTCTCATGCATTAAATGCCATAGCCTGCCAACCACCAAATAATCCTACTATATTGCTGTAGGAGAAGAAGCTATGAAAACCTGCTATTGTATGGCGATTTAAAAAAGATGATATCAAGCCAAATTTTAATGAAGCTAAAATTATGATGACCCAGTGTTCTCAATGTAAAGCTTGACAGGATTAAGACGCTATGTAAGTGAACTCTGTCTATCTTTTCGTGCCAAAGAACGGCCAATCGAAATTGGGCAAACAAATCAGTCTTTAAAAGTATGAGTGCGAATTTGCAAACCAAGGAATTATAATGTACTTATTTGCCAAGATGGTGTCTTTTTGAGTAGTAGTTCAATTTTTGAATGAAAATAAGTACTAAGTGGAAATTGAAAAGTAAGATACAAAAAGGCTGCCTGAACAGGTCATGTGACTTGTATTTTCATGTATTAGTTATGATCATTGATACTTATCGACCTTCAGCAAAGTACGCAATGAGATCAAGAAACTACATGTGGTCCTCGGTTGCTAAAAATGTTTCAAGTGAGATCCTATGCGTCCATTTACTATCAGATAATCCCTAATACTGTCTCATCTTTTTAGTGTTGTACGTAAAATGATTAATGCTTTAAACCATTTGATTCTGAGAATATGGTGTTGCTTCTTAATTCTTATCCGCATGCTAATCTCTAAACAAGCGTTATGCCATCAATGTTAGATCACAGATCCTATAAATCTGTGCACACTACAGTACATCTCAGTCCAATCTACAATAACTTAACACCAATTATATCCCCCTCCCTGCCACAACTATTAAACGACTTGTCAATTTCAATAATATAGCTTTTTAAAATGCAGCAGATAAAAGGCCGTTAATTTCTTTATCTATGATGCATTTCTCTCAATTAACTCTCTTTAATTTCATTATCTTTACTCCATATTTTTTGCATTCCTTATCGAGGTCTAAAATGTACCTAAATTTACTTCCTACAAGTGGAAATCCTTTTTACTCCATAAGCAAGGATTTATCATGTAGGAAAAAAATTAAGGAAAGGTGAATTAAAGGGCAGTAATTCCAAAAAAATTGTCAAATGCGTACGAAAATGCTTGCCTGAATCACCACCACTCTGGGGACAGGACTTTCACTCCATTTAGCCTTCCTGTCTATGCGCTGGGAAATTTCTTGGAATAGCAGAGTTTGAGAGAGCCCACTTACCTACCATCCTATAACTTACTTAACCATCCAGCGATTTCCTGCATTAAGTACGAGTGCCATAAATTACGCTTACCAGAAAAAAAACAATTTGCATTTAATTCTTTTCATGTGTATTGAAAGTAATCACTCATCATGAAATTAAAAAATTGCATGATAAGTGTCTCTAATCCATGATAATTTTCTTAGCGTTTCAATAGTAGACAATCACTTTCAGTAAATAATATTTGCAAAGGGGTATCAAGATACGAAAATCTAATTTAAATTTAAATCTCTATTCCCGCAACCTTTGCAGAGCGAGGTACTTTAAAGTCATGAAAAGTGGAGAGGAGCAATGGAAGAGTAATTCGCAGATGTAAAGGAGACAGACACAATGGTAAAGGAAAAGGTTAGGTGAGTACTGTGTAAGGGATCGAATATGCCATAGAACGGGGTTATTGTGGTTTGAAGTCTACTGTCAGCTTTGAGACTTTTGTTGCGGTATGAGTATACTTTGCCCGGGATGCACCAAGTGGAGATAAGTCAATCACGCACCTTGCGATACTCAATGAAGTGCCACCATCTGCTAATCCGCCTATTGGAATTGTCCTTCCGCTTTTGACCACAAATCTTAAAGAATAATTCTTCCTCCAATAAGCTCTATTAAATTCCGCCAAGCTTTAGGAGCACTGTTTGTCTGACGTATCTTCTATGGACTCTTATGAGGTTTAAGTTAAAAGGAGGGAACGGCATGACCTACCCAGTAATTAAATTTCCCCTCAATAAACTTAAAATATCAATAAAAGGTACTCAGTCATGAACCTGGGTGTCCAGTCATTAAAAACGAAAATCAGTACTTTAGATAGCGAGTCATACTAGTTTGGGAGTATGGAGAGCTCCCAGTTTCTAAGAATCTTTGATTTGTATTACTCCTCTGTTTGCCTAACTAATTAGCTATTGCCAGTACCCCACAAACTTCCCGACGTCCAAAATATTTAAAATTTCTTTTTTTATTAGTCCAGATTGCATTAGTACTTCAACCGTTCGAGAAAATTTGTTAAATAAGGAGCAAGATTGATAGTGCAACTTTTGCTAAGCCCATCGTTGCAGAAGAAAGGATTTGACTTTTCAAATTTGAATAGCACATTTATATTCAATGGTAGTTGACTGTGCAGACAAAACAAATTTTATCGATCTACCCACTGAGGCATCGATTTGTTCCACCGAAAGTCGTCTGAAGCAGTATATAATGAACTGTGTTCGTAATATTTCATTGAATGAATCGATTATCCATTTAAGTTGGAGACATGAAGTAGTAAAAGTATATTTTAAAATTAAAATTGTTATTTTAAGCAAGTAGTGTGCTAAAATTTGCTTTCATTCGCTCACCTAATTCTCTTCGCTTGATTTATAGTGATATGTCAAGTAGATTAATTGAATGTCTGCATTTTCACTTGAGGTAAATATTTGCAACATGGATTCAAGTCATAAAATTTTAAAATAAAAACTCGGAGAGCCCTTAGAAAGAAGCAGAATGGAATGATCTAAAATTTTTCAAAAGTTAGAGCATTGAGAAAACAAATAATGGAAAAAATAAATATATTTCTATGCAGACGAATTCTTTTGTACCCTCTTATACCATCTTAAATATTATAAAATTGTATAAAATTGACACTTTTTAATGACCATTGAGGAAGGTGATTGAAGTATTTTTTTATTGATTGAAGGTTTTGACATTTTCATTTTAGCAAGAGGGGAAATGAATATGGATAATTCTGCATTGTAGGTTTTGAGATTAAAGGATGATTCACCATCCACTGCTTGCACTGTCTCTACAAATAGAGATGAAGAAAGGAACTGTTGTTATTTTTTCTGCAAATCAGCTATCTTCTTATAATTCATTATGGGGATTTCATATTGAAAGGTCTCATTGTCGATTTGGCGAGAGAGGCGTCTGCCAAAGATATATTGCTACTACAATTTATGAGGGATGGGAGAAAGACGGTACTTTGTTAAAAATGCTTCTAAGGAAAGAATTACTCTTCCGTGTTTAATTGTATGCACAATATCTTAAAGTTTACGGTGATTTGAAATTTGTAAGGTAACTCATTGGAGCTGGACATAGGTTAAAACTGCTCTGTACTGGGATAGAATTAGTTCTGTGTGTGACGCAGTAACTTTGAAATTCAATTTAAACAGAAGTTGCGCTCGGAAGACATTGAGTTCTCTCTGGTTCAAATAAATCAAATTCAAATGTTGCGGGTCTGGTCATGACAATGCTGTGTATAATTGTCATTTTCTAAAGTAAATTCAATTTTAAAATGGATGATAAAACTTAAATATTGGTAAATAGGCTTTTATATAATGGAAAATCCATGGAAATTAGAGAAAAGATCAGTGAAGTTGAAAGAAATCGTTTTTTCACTTGCTCAAATTTCTGCGTTTAATGAACAGATTTCAAGATTTTCGATTAATATTTAAAAGACATCTCCGCGTTTCAATCTTTTATCAAGTCTCTAATGAATCTAAAATTTAATAAATGCTAAATGTGCAATTTCGCAAATTACCAAGACAAGTGAATTTCCTCTCTTAAATGTGTTAAAAATGCGAACAGGTGCAATCAAATAGCACGTCCATTAGCTAGTAATTGTATTACATTATGAATGGAAAGAGATTCTTCCCTATTTGAATACATGTTCACACTTTAAACAGCTTTCAATATACTAAAGCCTGGAGCAAATTTTTCTATCAACTAATGACAACTCCGACATTTTAGTCAATAACTAGTTAATTTTGAAAGTTTGAGTGATTTTGAGGCTAGTAGGTCGATGTTCACTTCCTGATCTCAATTTAAATTTGTAATTAGTGAATTTTGGTGCAACGGTGGAAAATTCGCTCAATATTGTATTACTTATATTCATTCCTTATCATTTATTTATTTATTTCAAATAACAAGCTTTATGATATTTATCCTTAGCCCTTAAACTTTGACTTCAGCTTTCCCCATGATGGGGGGGTGTACATATATAGCAGTTAATTAATAGCAGTTCATTAGCTGTCTTCTTGCTTCCCAGTATCTCTGGCTTTCCGTCGTTGTCTTTAGGGCTGGACACCGAATCAGGTGGGTCTTCTCCATTTCCTCATGTAGGTTACATAGAGGGCATGTGGGTTGAGTGTATACTCCCAATCTGTGAAGGTGTTTTGCCAGGCAATCGTGTTCGGTACGTAGTCTAAACTCAGCAACGGCTTTGATTCTTGGCCAGTCGGCTGTGTCGGAGAGTGCCACTGTCCACTGTTTCTCATTTGTTCGAGCTTTGAGTTCGTTGGACCTTGAGGTCTGGAATTCTCTTCTGATTAAGGCCTTCATTGTGTGGAAAGACATCGGCCGGTCTATGCATTGCAAAATCGTTGTCCTCTTCTAAGTAAGTGTGTCAGCAAGCTCATTGCCCGTATTGCCACAGTGACCAGGAATCCATTGTAGGACCACTGTTTTGTTTTTCTCTCTCAGGAGCTCATAGAGTTTTCTACATTCCTTTATCTCAGCTGTTTTGGGTGTCTCTCTGTTTCCAATAGAGTCTATTGCTGACTGTGAGTCCGAAAGTATCACCGCTTTGGTGAATTTCGTATCCAGGCAACATAATTGGCATAGTGCTATCCTAATGGCCTCTATTTCTCCTTCAATAGCGGATCTATTGTGTCCCGGTGCTGCGTAGAAAGAGAAGAGTTCAGAAGAGACACCTGCACCAACGTTTGCTTAGTTTTCTATGTATGACCCATCAGTGAAGATTTGGAGCCATTGATCTGCAGGATATTTGACATCGATTGTCTCAAGTGCCAGTGCGCGCATTTGCTCTGGAGAAGTGTTTGATTTCCTGAAGAAGTCAAGCATTTGGGTGCAACACACTACATCAGTGTCTAATAATGGGTTCATGGGGAGAGAGAGGCTTTTTGGTTTTTCATCGATCTGTAATTCTTTCTTCAGTTCTTTGGCTTTCTGTATTAGACCAGATTGCGTTTTCAGATGTCTTGGTCTATTCTCATAGGTGCTGAAGAACTTATCCATGGGAATGCACAGTAGCTTCGCATAAATGATCAAGGCCTTTTCTTNAAGATGGCTTGCCTTAGGACAGCTGATTGTCGTCTCCAGGCTTTTACGTCTTCCGTTCTTCCAGTCAGATCAGCAGTGTTGCGAAGGGCGTCCCGCTTTCTTTTCAGTTCCTCAAGGTGTTTAGACCAAAACACTCGATAGTGTTTTGTTTTGCCTCGGGGAATAGTTTTCTTTGCACATCTGATCATAATATTCGTGATAGCAGTGCAAAGTTTGTCAGGATGTTGGTTGAAGTTGAGGGGACTTGAATGAAGTTCATCCTCTAAAAGGTTTGTGAATCTAGGCCAGTCAGCCTTCTTGAAGTTCCATGATAGCTTAGTTGGCACTCTTCTTGTCATGCTTTTGCTGCCGATGGTAATACTAGCAATGACTGGTTTGTGACCAGAACCAGGATCGTCAATTATTTTGCGGCGTGTATGCTCGCTGATGTCGCTTGAAGCCAGGAGTAAGTCAGGAGTTGTTCTGGTTCCATTGTAGTGCAAATATGTAGCCGGATCCTCATTGCTGTAAATAAGTTCCAGAGGGTTGCTGTTTAGCATGTCTTCGATTTCCTTTCCAGCTATGTCTGTATCCTTGTGGCCCCATCTGGTGGAATGGGCGTTGAAGTCTCCTAATACTACAGTTTTGTGTGAGATTTTCAGAAAGTCAAAGTTTGGACAATTCTGGGGTGGATTGTAAATTACATATATCTTGAAGTTGTTTTGACATTTCCAAACATTTAATCTGATTATTTTACATACGTCTTGTGTCGAGCCCATACTCTTGATTAGCTCGTAGTGTGAGGTGAGGCCTTCTTTAACTCCAGTTAGAATTCCACTAGCAACTTGCCGGTATTTAGGTAGAAGGTACAGGGTGTAACCTGGGAATTGGTAGTACTTCAGTTTGTCATCCGAAAGGTTTGCTTCCATAATTGTGAAAATGCCTACATCATAGGATTTTAGGATTTTCTGGACTTGGATCTTTTTGTCCTGTGACATCCCTCCAGCATTCCACTGGAGGATCTGAAGAAGTTGTGATTCGCCCTAACGAGGGCGATTTCTCTTATAGCCTTTTTTCAAGCTAATCATAATAAATCGAATTTAAATCAAATGCCTAGTGATAGACTTTTTAGCCGTACGAAGATACGTTGTCCAGGATGCACTACGTGGAGGTAAGTCTATCGCGCACCCCTCATTCCTTATCATTGACGCATGAAATTGCACTTTGAATAATACCGATAATTTAGTAATATATTAATTTTAAAGTTTTTGTTGAAATTTTCTTCGAACTAAATTTAAATTTATCATTTAATTTCAAAGTCATGGTGAGAATTTGTTCTCGAAACATGTATATTTTTTTTCAAAAAAATTCTTTGCCTAGAAATTAGTTAATTTAAACACATTTCATGCTTTGCGCCTAAGTGTACAGTTATCTGCTTTCCTTCTTCACTTTTAACTATCCAAGAAGCAGTGTTTCCTTCTTCTGATGATTAATTTCGTTTCCTATGAATTTCACCTTTCTGTCATAGAATTGTCTAACCTGTCAGTATTCTGCTTATCCCCCCCCCCCAATTTCATTGAATGACTAATTATCCACTTGGCTGTGCGTGTGAACTTTTATTAGTAATTGTAAAATTTGTGAATGCATTTAAATGGGTACAAACTGATCAGGCCTTAAATTCTTCCACAACTGTTACCGCAGTCAATAAAATATTTGGGAAATTTTAATTTCATGCCTATTTATTAGGGAATTAAAAATTTTCTTAAAGTATAGGACTTTTAACGGTCCTATCGGGTCTGAATTAACTGAAAACTGAGCATTTATTTATTATCAATCTTAAGATAAATTTCTTTCAAGTTCAATCGGCCAAACAGAGACAAAAGAAATGGACAGTTGGGCTTTATAAGGACATTGGGAGGGAGGAATGAACGTCAAGAGTGACGTAAAACTATCTACAACGCGGCTTTAGAATTATTAAACAGAAAGTCGAAATGATGTGATATTTTGGATTAGTCGGTTTTTTGAAGTCTGCATCTGCGGACAAATGAGTCTCCCAAATAAGTAGTTTGCCTTCGAGTTTTTCTGTAATTAACTTATTTCATTTAAAAATCGTCAAGTATCACACAAAGTCGTGGTACTTCTATTACTCCTGTTGGATTTGTCGTTTAATTCATGGAGCCGAATTCGTTTTAGGGCCTATTATGCATTATTCCAAGCATTTTTATGTTTGTCAATTTTGTTCGAAAGAATCCCAGTGGCGTTTAGTTACACAAAATATCGCTCTCGAAGGAATTCAGTCGTCAAAGCTGATTTTCGCATTCAAAGCATAATCCAATAATTATAGATTTCAATCTCCCACCCTATTTGGACGGAATCTTAAAATCTAATTTAACTCACAAAAGTATCTTTTCACTACGCCGTTCACTAGAGGAAATTGGAGTAAGGAGAACAGGTCCTCACAGTTATCTGCGTATTCTGGATATGTTATTTCATTTTCATATTAAATGAAAAAAGCACTTTAGATGGGAGTGAAAAGAAGTGGAAACATTTTTTGTGGTCGATAAATTTTAGTAAGAGGGGTTTAAATGCGTCTTAAGGCAGTGTAATTTTATAAGGGAGGTTAATTTGTGAAAGTACAAAGTCGCTAAGATTACAAAGATGATAATAAAATACATGAAGGCTAAATATTACCAAGGGTGAGGGGAAGTGGCTATTTCACCTTCATGCCTACAACCACCCATCTCTAGTGCGTATCTTGAGCCTATTAATATGCTTCGTTTTAGTTAACACTCAAAAGGACCTCCCAGTTTCAATTCTCCACTTCTTCCACACTCACCATAGACGGTATGTAGGCAATGCTAGGTTGAGAGTCCACTCAATTTCATAAATACTCGATCTAACTTATAATAAAAACACGACATGTTTTGCTGTCATCACCTCATTATCTTATGTTGGACTTTCTGTTAATTGATTTAAGTTGCTTTGCACTATTAGAGATTGTACTTTTTGTCATCTTTAAACAAATGGCAAGTGTCCGATCAGTTATCATGAAATGATTAATATGCTAACTATCACATAAACGGTAGATGAAGAAAGAGTGCTAAGACGTAAGCCCATTCTGAGTTTGAGTAACAATTATATTAATTTTTTGCTATAATTTCAATTCATATAAAGATTAACTTTGCATGTTAAAGCACGACTTTTAGCCTGTTGTTATGAATGTGAGCCCCGACTGTCCTGCCTGTGATTCATCTTTTAAAAATGGCAACAGAGTTATATAAACCATGCAGGTCTAACCTAAAAGATTAATTTGATCTGTAGATTCTGTAATCGAATCCCCACTTAAATTATTATAAACAACTTCTTTAAATACTGACTACCATAAGTGTGGGGAAATAAATCCGATTCGCAAACCGTAACTTCAAGTTATAGTCGACATTGAGCATCATTTTGAAACTTAGCTCTCTGTAGCAACTGTGAGCATCGCCAATTTCGGATTCACCAGTATGTTAGATCGCAAACATAATCATTCCCTAAACCCAGGTGTCAAATAATCAAGTCTCAATGCTTATTATATAACATAATAACAAACCAATCTTAGATCTTAAAGAACCTGTTTGTTCTTTCCTTTACTTAAATATTTTATGTGGTAAAACTAGCAAGAATTTTCCTGATATGGAAAAAATAACAATAACAAATTATAAGAGGTTGAGATATCACCATACGCATTTATTTGAATTCTTGGACAAATTGAGAGTAAGGCATTAAGGTGAAGAGTACTGTAGACAAGGTGAACATTAATGAATGCCATCAAACAAATTGGAAAATGAGCATTATAGCCAACGCGATAGTCAGAGACATCGCCATTGTGGCAATGAAGGGAGACCAACCAATTACAAAACTGTGGTAGAAAAACATAGCAACCGAAGCGAGAATAGCTGCAATGAAAGTTGCCACAGTTGCGGCAATATTTGGTCCCCCGGAGCCCTTTAGAAGGTAGACAAGAATGAAAGCACCAGCAATAAATACCAATAGTCCAGCAGTAAGTAGAAGAGCTCCGGTTATTTCGTTGCGTTTGTCAAGTTTTATGCAGAGCGGACTTAGAAGACTCTCACCACATTTCCATCCATTATAGCCAATGGCTGTCATAAAGAGAATGGTTGCGATGGTAGCAAGAAAAAGGTGCAGTACTCTTACATCCATGTTAGAACTCCCTATCACAAATGAAATGAGAAAGTGCTATTTATAGGCTTCCTAAAAAGCATGTGAGTGGAAAAAAATGCAATTTGTTTTGCCATACTATGAGGTTTTACCCCCAATTCAAACTTTATTATCTTCCCATTCTCAGAACCGATTAAATGGATTATCTTCATTTATTCAAATTCCTTACTTACGAATCTCTACCATCTAATTACTCTAATATGTGAATATATTTTCTCTGTCAGCAATAATCCGAAATATTTTTTAATTTTCGTAACAAAATACCCTCGTCTTTGGACTTCGTGACCTCGTGTGGCCTACACGTTTAGGTGTCCTTAAATCCCTAACCTAATTATATGAACCTGGCGCTTAATGCCATCCACAAAACTATAAATTTTAGTTCATGCCTAATTTGAAGCTATTTTAAATACCTAACACTTCCTCTGAGCTTGTCAATGGGGAAAAAGTAGATGTTGATCAAAGACATCCGGGCTAAAACATCCAATTGCGAATGACGGTTTTCGAATAACTTGCTAGCACTTTTTCCCAAATCTGGATACGAGACCATTAAGAATTATTTCAATTCAAATTCTAATGGGAATGGAGAAAGAAACAGGAGAAAGATCGAATGTATGTGTGAACCAACTGCATATACGTGAATCACACATTCAGATAAATAATTGGTTCAATAAAAATCAATTCCAGTTATAAAGATGCGTGGAAAGTAGATCCCATTGATTTTACTCGTGTTATGTGGACGCGCGAATAAGAAACTAATGTCGTCTATAGCCGTTTTAATTGACATTTGGTTTAAATCGAATATTCAGTGAAGCTTTAAGGGTGGAATCCACCAAGTTCATTCAAGCACTACGATCTCGTCATTTCCATTTGTCGAATTCTTGATCATATCTCAAGTGACAAATAACAATTTGGCAAAGCACCAAATATGCTGCTTAAAATATTAGAATGTAGCACATATTTATTTATGGCAGTTATCATTGGTCCTTTGGTTGACTTCGGGTTTCACAGAGAGTAGGAATATCAAAGTCGTAAAGAGTAGAGATGGGGGACAGAAGAGTGATTCACAGATATAAGGGACAGACACAAATCTAAGGTGTGTACTGTGGAAAGGTCAAATATGGCGTACAGTCGAGTCATGGTAGTATGAAGTCAGAGGTCAACTGCCGGTTTGTAGACTTTTTCCGCATGAGAATATGTTGCTCAGGGTGCACCACGTAAAGGTAAGTCAATTGTACTCCCAAAATAACAAATGTAACCGCTCATACTTTAGGTGATAATTTGTTTATAGCTATTAATGTTTGACTAATGTGGAATAAAGGTTAGGAAAATAATGCAAATCGCCTTCAATTTACTTCAACTAGTTGTTAAAAGTATTGTCATTAAATTCCTTCTAATCCCGGCACATTGAAATTAATTTCGGCAAGTTATCTGTACTTTTAGAGATCTGTATAGCCTCTAATTTTACGGATCATGTCTTGCTCAGACAGTCCATTATCTTAATTGCAAATCTCAATTAGAAAACTGGCTTTCGATTAGTAATTATGGGTCGACCGCGTTTCCCTGTCTGTTTGATTTTTTGTAAATTCTGGAAATTCAAAAAGTAATTATACTTTAGAATAAATAAATAGCTATAGTTTGAATATAGAAACAAAGAAAAATGAAGAATGGAGTCTAATAACATCCATTTGGAGTCATTTATTTTCATAGTGTCTCCAAGCAAATCACCTCCTACCGAATTTCCCTTCCTACGTGCATCAATCTTACCTTGAATATAATTCTAATAACATACTATTAAAATTAGTATTACAAATTGTGTTTCCAGACTGCGTTTTTTCGACGTAAAGTTAGCAAACTTTACTATTTCACGTTCATCTCAAGGTGTGGCCTTCCATATGCTTGAATTCCCACCCGTAAGCCCATATATTGTAATGGCAAGAGGAAAGCCTCGTGGATAGTTCATATTTTTGTGTTTATTGACCATTTTGGGACAGGATATACCACAATTATAAATGTATTATTATTATCATCATTTCAAATGGCTTTCTTTATGATGTTTATCATTAGCCCCTTAGTTGACTTCGGCCATCACAGTGGGGGGGGAGGGGGGTGGGAGGAACATAGATATAGGCTTTGGGACAGTTAACAGCAGTTCATTAATTGACTTCTGGATTCTCAGTTTCTCTGGGTTTCTCTCATCGACTTTAGGGCTCTACACCGAATCAGATTTGTCTTCTACATGTCCGACTGTAGGCCACATAGGAGGCATGCTGGTTGAGTGTATACTCCTATTCTGTGAGGGTGTTTAGGTGAGCAATCGTGGCTGGCTCGCAGTCAAAATTCTAGATCAGCTTCGATTCTTGGTCAGTCGTCTATATTGGAGAGTGCCACTGTCCACTGTTTCTCCTTTGTCCGAGCTTAAAGTTCGTTGTACCTTGAGGTCTTGAATTCTCTCCTGATTAAGTCTTCATTGTGTGGAAGGACAATGGCCAGTCTATGCCTTGCAAATTTTAGTCCCTTTCTTGGCAAGTGTGTCAGCGCGCGGATTTCCTATAATGCCACAGGGTTCAGGGATCCATTGAAGAAGTACTATTTTATTCACGCAATAACTGATGCTGTTTTTACATTCGTATACCTAGGCTGCTTTGGGGG